GTCAATTATGACTGCAATTGCTAAAAGCAGTAGTCTCAGTCCTCTTATTCTTTATCTATCTGTATTATTTTATATACTTTAACAATTTTTATATATAATTCTTCCTTTTAAAATTACTTTCTTCACTGGACCTTAATGATTTGTCCTCTATCGAATAACTATTCCTATATTTCTCCCTTACTGGTTCTTTCTCATCGTATAACACCTTAGTATTCGGGTTTAGTCTTTAGAGCTCTTATATGAATTCTCTTATATGCATTTATTTTCTTTTTACCTCATTTAGCCTCATTTAAATATTGTCATTATTGTGATGATTAGCAAATATATATTTCCAGCATGGACATTTTCTCTGAAATTCTGTCTTGTATATCAGCAACTGCCAATGTGCTATTTCCCCAGTGGATTATGGTATCTTCACACTGTACCATAATTAGCAGTAACTTTGATTGAATAGCTTATCATTTGTTATAATTAGATGAAGAAGAAAAGTCAATGCTTACTCTAATAAACATATAAAAATGTTAAAAGGAAATAAAGAACTAAGATCAAGTTCTACCTGGAAGAATTCAGATTAAACACAGCAAGTATTTTCATGAAAATAGGCAATGAGTGGTATTGGATTAGGCAACAAAAAAGCAGGTGTGCAGATTCCAACCAAAACTATATCAATTTCCACTTTATTCTCCTTTCACATTTCCTCCCTTCTCTCTTCTCCCCAACGGTCTGGCATAACTTGGCTACATATTTTGTGTAAAGGCTGGGCAGTTATTAACCCTTTTAGTGAAGAACCATGGTGACTTCTTCTTCTGTCTTAAAACAAACTGTTCAGCCTTGAAAAGAAGACCCTGACATGATGGTATGTCTCCCCAGAGAACTTACTTGCAAATTCACCTCTACTTTTAGCAACTGGGAGCTCTGAGCCATACCACAGCCACTCTGGACCAAAAAAGCTTTCATAGGGTGAGGATAAATAGGACCAGATCTCAGATCCAAAAACTATGATGTTATACTGATACAAGTCATCCATTACTGCTGACCGTTGAGGTTGGGTGAATGTTAAATGGACGAAGTGGGCAGAAAATAAAGCTGAGAACAGTTCTGTAAAGCCAGGAATGGAGATATAGGAACACAGAGAGAGATGATAATCTTACAGACATATTGATGTCCTTGGCTACTCTGGAAGTCATCTCAGTATGGACACTGACTCCATTATAAAAACTATAGTTCCTTGAATCCTACAGGTGTTTGAGTAGCCTTAATGCATACCAAAAACTAGTATCATCTGTAAATGTCCTTTGTTTTGCACCTGAATCCTTCCTGTTGCTGTTAGAGATTTTAATCTTTTGCTGTTTACCTTATGGGCTCAAGGCAAGAGAGTCAGATGAATCTTTAGGAGCAATCTTTTTTTTTTTTTGAGTTGGAGTCTCACTCTGTCGCCCAGACTGGAGTGCAGTGGCCACTCCCGGCCACCGCAGCCTCGACCTGCTGGGCTCCGGCGATCCTTCCGCCTCAGCCTTCCAAGTAGCCGGAATTACAGGCATGCGCTACCACGCCCAGCTGATTTTTTGATTTATTGTAGAGATGAGGTCTCGCTGCCCAGGCGGGTCTCGAACCCTCAGGCTCAGGCAATCCACTCACCTCAGCCTCCCAAAGGCGCGGGATTACAGGCTGAGCCACCGAGCCCGGTTTAGGAGCAATCTTTATAAAGCTATGATGAGACCAGAATTTATTTTTCTCTTATTAAAATAAATTTTATTGTATATATTTCAGGTATACAACATGATGCTATGAGATATACAAATAATAAAACGGATACTATAGTGAATCACAGTGGTTTCACAGTAATCTCACTTGTATTTGTTAAGCCAGACAGGCAGAAGTGAAGCTATAAATATTTGTTGGTAACTTTGTTCTTGAGTACCTAGGAGCCTCATATTGCCCCCAGAAAGTCTAGATGAGTCTATAAACTCACTGGATTTCTTGACTTTCCATTGGCTAAGCACAGCTGATACCCCTCAAATCCAATTTGTTGTATGTAAATAATTCTGGAATTTTGTGTACAGCAAATTCAACTGTCCACTAAGCTGGAAATCCTTGCTATAGCATCCACAGGTCTGTTTTTATCCAGTGTAAAATTGGTCCTCTCTAAACATCTTAACAGAAGTTCTTTCTTTAATAGAAATAAGAGATGCATGTCATTATCCTTACTATGCTCTTAGTGACAGCATAGAACATGTTTGCTTCTTTTGTGTTAAAAAACCTCCAATGTCACAATAGTTCATTGATTTCCTGAGGAAATTAATGAGGGACTTCAATACAGTAACATGTTGATGGCATTCGCATTATTGAGGAGCCATGCTATTTCATGTATTACAAGAATTCACCTAACCCAGCTAACTGAGGATCAGTTTTGGATCTTTGAAGAGAATGTTTGATTTAGAAGAGGATAAAATCACAATGTCCTCACCCGTGGATTGAAAACCTCAGAAAAACCAATATGTTTTTCAACTTGAGGAACTAAATGAAGTTTCCTCGTTTGAAAGTGAATACATACAGCAATGGACTCAGAGACTTTAAAATCCTAAGAAATAACAGTGAGTATTATAGCTAGTGCTTATTAAGTTACAGGGACTATACCATGTGGTCCATATGGTTTTTCTCTATTAAGTCTCTACAAAATCTTATGAAGCATTATTATCTGAATTTTATAGTAGAAATAAGAAAATTTCTCAAGGTAATACAAGTGGTGAGTTAATGCAGTAAAGCAATATTTTAAACTCAGGCAGACTGAACCTAGGTTCTGACATTTTTTATTTTTCATACTAGACCACAGAAAAAAGCTTCAGGAGGTTAACAAGACTAGGAGTCAAGTCCTACAAGAGATGTTTGAAGCATTTGAGGAAGACTTGGATTTAGAAATTAAATGTTATTTCCTTTGGGAAATCTGTCATGAGTAGGAACTGAATCATGTGACTTTCTTACATAGTATACAGCAAAGCAACATTTTATGCACATATTGGAGATTATTTAATTAATTATATCTTTTTATTAGACTATAAGCTTAATATATTATCAGGCATACATGCTCTTGCTCTTCTATTTACTTCTGACACATAGAAGAATAACTAGTACAAAATAAACTGTCAATAAGTATTTTTGACAAATAAATGAAATAAAAGAATAGCCTAGAAAGAATATATAAAATTGGAAGTCTAACACATTGAAGAAAAATTATAGTGTCTAACATGGGTTGTGGTTGTAGACATTATCTCAGTGAAAACAGAAAAGTTCTCAGACTTACATAATTCTCAACTAAAGTTAAGAATGGCTACCTCAAGAAAGAATTTTTTTTTTTTTGTCAATTGAGAGGTATAATCAACTGCCATGTGATTACATTTCAAGATGCAACATCTGGGAGGTAAGTAAAATATAATTATTAAACTATATATGTTTGTAATTTATTTTCCAACTGGATGACAAGATTATATTCCATTAATTTATCTAGTATTTAATAATCTCAGGCATTATTGGGAGAGAATCCAAAAACATTTAAATTTTTGAATTTGAAGGATATTTAAAGTTATGTAAAATTGGCAGTAAACTCTTGTTAAAATTTTAAAATGCAAACAAATAATTACTTTATAAGCAATTAAAACTTGTAATAACATTGCTACCTATTCAATTTATAATGACCACTAATATAAAGTTAGTGTAATCTTGTAGCAGTATGTAAGAAATGCATATTCAATTACTAACAGACAAAATTCACCAACATTATTAGTTGCTTTTTAATAATGCAGTTTCAGGTGAACAGGAAATTAATAAAAGACTTTATAAATATAGAACTCTTTAATCCTATTTTAGCTTCTTCCACATTCTAAAATTTTTTTAGATAACAATGACTGGATGAAATTAACATTAATATCCCTTCTAGAAACAAGACTCTTTGACCCCCAAAGATTGGACTTCAACAAGATAAAAATTATAATTCTGACCTCACTTACAAGGACCTCCCAGAACAAGATGACTCCAGAATTTTCTTTTTCTCATTTTTCTTTTTATTGGCATAACTTCAACCCACAGAGCAGGCACTGTGAGAACCTTTCCCTGATTTAACTCATCTGTAAGCTCTCAGTATCTCATTTTCATTTTCCCTTCCTTTGGTATGCTTCATCTTGGATATTTTCTGGACCATACCACTATGTGGTATCTGGACTAACTGGCCCTAAAGTATCATTACTATCATTGCTCTAAAGTATTACTATCATTGCTCTAAAGTATTAAATTTTAAAGCTACCAATGCAGAGTAAGGCAGATATGTTTTATAATCAAATTGGTCCATATTGTTAATCAAGAAAACAGGTGGAAATTTACTATATAGATTAGGTTATAAATGTATTAAGAGGAGGTGATAAGAAGCACCTCTTGGAACACATAGAGTGCAAAGAACATGGTAGGAATCATGAAACTAGCAACGGAAGACCTTGTCTGATTTATAAGGAAGACTCTCAAAAAGAAATACTGTTTTTAAACCATGGCTACTTACCTAAGTCTGTTAAAAAATTCAATTCCTGCATTCAATCTTTTATTAATTACTCATTAAGCATTATTTGTCAGCCTAATGCATGTAAGGCATAGATGCCAAATATAGAGAACAAAAAATAAGATTCAGAAATTTCACAGTGTAATGGGAAGAAAGACATACATATAATTATTAAATAATTTTATATTTCTAAAGGGAAGCATGTTTAAGTTGTATGGTTCTCACTCCACAGGAGAAGGCATTATAGAAGGACTTCCTAGAAGGTATATTGAATGGGTTGGTTTTTGAAGGACTGTTAGGAGCTTGCTAGGTGACCAAATGGAAGCAGCAATTCTGTGCAGAAAAAGCACCAAAAAAAGAAAAAATAGGCCAGTGTGAGAAAGTATGTTTTTACATATTTCACAGTACTTACATATGGTTGGAATATGAAGTGTGTGGTAAGATGTGATGGTAAATAATGCTAGATAGGTAAGCAAGATCAGGAAGAGCTTTTCATGCCATTGTATCAAGACTCCAGCAAGAGTCAGATTACATGCTCAAATTAGATAATTTGAGGGGAATGTATTATGGAAACTATTTGCAAAGTTGTGAGTGTGTGTAGAGAAATCACAAGTGCTTGTACGATCCCTGGGTAAGTGACAACAGGTACGGTTGCAACCCTTGAACATTAATCACAGTACTACAAGAGAGAGATATGCAGTAGCAGGACACTGCCAGGGAAGGAAGGGAGTGGGGGCACATAACATCACTAAGGGTTCCTGATGCTAAACGAGGGGAAGTAAGGATCAGTGGGAGGCTCAACCCACCTGTACGTAGGTCACTTATGTACCAAATCCTGACTTTTACCCAACATTTTAAATTAAAATAAAGAGGGAGAAAAAATCCTTGGACTAAAGGGACAACAGAAATGTAGCCATGGAAAGTAGAGCCAGAGAAGGCTATTTGGATAGGGATGTGGTGAGCTTGCAATAACCCTGTTGGGAGAGTAGTACTGAAGAAATAAACACCTGACTTTCCTCTTCTTCCTAATTCCAGTCTTCTGTTGGTGTTTCCTATGGCCAAATCTAACCAGAAGTGAGAGGTGGAGGAAGTCTGTTGATGTAGTCCACAGAGGTCAGTGTCTCAGGACCCAGAACATGATAGAAGATGGCAAAGGGTAGAACAGAGGAGGTTAATAGAAGATATTCTGCACAGAACACAGAGACATTATATTTTTACATTACAGTGTATTCTATTCACATATTAGAATATCAAAGCCACAAGGAAGAGATTTTAATAGAAGATGCAAGTCCTGGAAGTGAATCTATTAGTTACAAAAATATTTTAGTAACACAGACAAGAAGTGAGGAAGGCAAAAATTTGAATAGAATTGGTGAGAATGAAGAAAGGCAAAAGGTTTAATGAATATTTAGAAGTAATAAATGACATCTAGGATGATATCATTTCTTTTCTACCACTTTAAGGAAGATAAAGTCTTCAATTCTCTGCATCATTATGCTCTCTGCACCTGTCTCCATTGACACTGCCCCCCCATCCTTCCATGTTTATTCTGCTTGGAATTCCTGGGATGCAAGACCAGCACATTTGGATTGCCATCCCCTTCTGCTCTATGTATATCGTTGCTCTGGTGGGCAGTGGAACTATCCTCTACATCATCATGACAGACAAAGCTCTGCATAAGCCAATGTACCTTTTCCTGTGCTTACTCTCTGTCACTGACCTGGTACTCTGTTCAACTACATTGCCCCAAATGCTAACAGTCTTCTGGCCGAGGTCTCACATAATTTCTTATCATGGCTGTCTTACTCAGATGTTTTTTGTTCATGCTGTCTTTGCCACAGAGTCAGCTATTCTGCTGGCCATGGCTTTTGACTGCTATGTGACTATCTGCTGTCCTCTTCATTACACATCCATCCTCAGTGGGAAAATTGGACTGACCTGTGTGATTCGTGGTCTTTTCTTTGTTTTCCCCTTTGTCATCCTCATTGAACGCTTACCCTTCTGTGGACATCACATAATCCCTCACATTTACTGTGAGCACATGGGCATAGCCAAGCTGGCTTGTGCTAGCATCAAGCCCAGTAGTATTTATGGTCTCATGGTGACAATTTCAATCACTGGCATGGTTGTGGTCCTCATTGCCACTTCCTACTTTCTGATCCTGCAGGCTGTGTTGTGCCTTTCTTCCAAAGATGCCCAGTTTTGTGCATTTAGCACTTGTGGAACCCACATTTGTGTGATTCTTGCTTTCTACATCCCTGCCTGCTTTTCCTTTTTTACCCACCACTTTGGCCACCAAGTACCTCCTCAAGTCCACATTATACCTGCAAATCTCTATCTCCTCGTGCCTCCTATTCTTAACCCCTTAGACTATGGCATCAACACCAAACAGATCCACCTTCGAATATTTGACTTTTTTGGAGGGAGGGAGTAACTATATTCTTTGTATACCCAGGGGACTAATGGGAAAAGTTATTGTCCATTTTTTACCTTCTCCAGTACTACTTATCTTTGGATTAGAAGTTACTGCTTCCGTTAATTCTAGCAAGACAGTATCATGTATTATCTGAGAGTTTTAGAAGTATTTAGAACAATCCATCTATACCTACTAAATCTACAGAATATCAATTTTTCTGCAACATTATTCTGTGGCCTGTTAATGAGACTATAGGTCTTGAATATTCCTAGGGAAAGGTCAGGAGACAAGTAGTAAAATTGAAAGTGAGAGCCAAGGAGAGTTCTTCTCTCTTCATACAGAAATCCCATGTGCTACAGGTAGAGTTAAGAAACTGAGAACACCCACACCTCTTAATTTGTTAAATATTGACAGCACTTTCCAGGAGAGTCTTCAGTGAGAGTACTGGCCTAGGCCAGACATGGCTGTGAGAACCTAAGATCCACTTGATCTGGGATTAGGTTTAAAATAGACAAGGATGACTGCAAGGTGAGAGGTCTCAACATAATTTCATGGGAAATCCACAGCATACTCAAGGAAGTACTTCAAAAGATGTCACTTTGTAGACGGTATACTTATCTCATGACTGACGACATTTTCATTTGTCCTGATATTCTAAGAGTGATCTATCACAGAAACAAAGAACTGAGTATCACATGTTCTCACTCATAATTGGACCTTGAACAATTATCATAATACTATAAGAAAAGGATTTTCAGTAGTGGGTGGGAGGGGGAACGGAATTGGCAGTAATGGATTCTGCCAGGGGAGGAGGGCACACCTCATCAACAAGGGTACCTGCATAATGAATATTTGTATACTTAACCCTGAATTGTACCCCACATCTTTAAAATAAAAAATATTTTAAAAGCTCAACTGAAGTACTTATTTTTTTTTTTTTTTTTTTGAGGAGGAGTCTCACTCTGTCGCCCAGACTGGAGTGCAGTGGCCGCTCCCGGCCACCACAGCCTCGACCTGCTAGGCTCCAGCAATCCTTCCACCTCAGCCTTCCAAGTAGCTGGAACTATTTTTTGATTTATTGTAGAGATGAGGTCTTGTCTGCCCAGGCGGGTCTCGAACCTGCGGACTCAGGCAATCCACTCACCTCAGCCTCCCGAGGGCGCAGGATTACAGGCTGAGCCACCGAGCCCGGCTTGAAGTACTTATTTTTATTATTCATTTGAGTCTAGGCCTTCATTATATCGGGCTGAGGCAAAAATTTGCAACCTGTCCATAACTTGAGAGAATATTTTTATTCCTATGGTAAATAACTTGTAATTCCCATGTTAAATAACTAAGCCATTTCTACGGAGAAATTTTATCAAAACTTAATTGTAAGAAGTTGCTTACTATTTGTTGGAGAAAGAAAAATCAAACAACTGTGGAGATTATATCCTTTGTTGAAAAGTAATACAACCCACTAACCTAAAACCACAAGGAGTATATTTATATTCGAAAAGTTATGTTTAGTAATCCTGCTGCAACAAGGGAGAAACATTCCAGAAGAACCACTGGGCAGCTCAAAGAATTGGGAAATAATTCTTATATCAACTTGTGCTTGATGCTTTTTAGGTAGGATCTTGGGAATTTGAGAGAATTCTAGAAAGGATGTGGCCAAGAAATATGGGTAATTTGGGACTGTATTTTAATATATACTTATTTTTTAATCTAAAAATATGAAAACAATAATGGGTTAGAATTAACACTGGTAAAAAAGAAGCATTGCTCATGTTAGCCAGAAGAGTAATTCTGATTGGTCTTCTCTCTCTGTGTTATTCCAGACCTTGTCACAGAATAGCCTGTCTGTGTATTGTTAATGGTCTTTACATTTTGTTTCTGCTCAACAAGAAACAGTCTGTATTAACTGTTGGCATGATTCTTTTTAATCTCTCAGTATCCTTTTTTGACCAAGAGTAGATGAGATCAATCTTTAAAACATTAATTTGTACATTCCAGTTAACCACTGTCAGAATTTTATTGATCAGAATGTTGTTCAGAAAACAGCTTATAGTTAGTCCTGCATGTTTCTTTTGCTAAAGAATAATTGGTTGAGTCATTTGACATGGCAATGGCTACACAGTAGTATTAAAGACTTCAGACAAGGTGCATTGAATGAATGCAATATAGACATTTACCATCAAGTCAATGATTATCAGTCTATGTAATAGGATGTGGAACCAGATACCTACATCACCAAACTCAGACCACGTATAAACATGACAAAAATTCATTTTAGTATATATATTTAGATCCAGGAGAACTTTTGTTAGTCTAACCACACGGTTTCCTCTCAAGCATGGTATTTGCATGGGTGCAATAGAAAGTCTTAAATGTAGCAAAAATGTCTCCTTGGTTAGCTAAGAGGAAAATGCTTAGTTACATTTTTCCTTTTGTGATAGGAGCAGCTTAAGACACTGGACAGAAAGGAGTCAGTTATCTCTTCTGGGAGCTTCCTGAGTAACTCGTACTTATTCATTTTGGAAGTTTGTCTAAGTGTCCTTCTCAGGAAAATATTGTTTTAAATATCTAAAAGTCTCTAGCAATTACTCCATTGCTACAAGATAGATTTGTGTGTGTCAGTTAGGCAAAATTCCCCCTGTAGAAGACAAGTATCACTTATCACCACAGGAGTGGGGCAAGTTTTTATTTTTCATAGGGAACACATTATCTTTGGAATGAAGTAATACCTGTGAAACAGAATGAAGAACATACAAAGATACTACTGTAATAAAAATTGGCCCAATATGTGTCACCACGCCTACTGATCTTAGATATACTGCAAATGATGTAATGAATTTAGCTCAGGTATTGTGTTGACTCTAGGTCAGGGTTCTATATTAAAAACATTCAAGACTGAAGTTAACAGTGTGAAGACAATGTGATATCAGAAGAGAATTGGGGAAGAAAAGTTATCTTCTCAAATGTTTAAAAGAAGTGTTAATACATTTATTAATTGGGGCAGTGTAGGGATGACCAATCCAGCAATTGGTTGGATTCAGAGGAGTCGCTGTGGTCACACGCACACACGTTTCATTTTACTTTAAATATTGAAAAAACACTCTATGAGATTATACGTACAAACATATATGAGGGGGCTTCAAAATGTTCATGGGAAAATTGAATTAAAAGATAAAGTAAAAATTACAAACTTTATTTCTCAACATAAGCTTGATCAAGTTCCAGATATTTTTCATAGGTGATGATACTAGCTGTTTAGTACATCTCTTAAGAACTGAGGGTCCTGAAAATTTGACCATGTCATTGTAGTTTTTGTTATATATTACTAACCGAAGATAAATGGATGCCCTTTGAAGACTTTTTCAGATTAGAAAACAAAACTCAGAAGCAGTCAAATCAGTACTGTAAAGTAGATACCTAATGATTTCGCATCAAAGCTTTAGCAAAATTGCCTTGTTTGATGAGAGGAATGAACAGGATCATTTTCATGGTGAAAAATGACTCTTTTTAAATTAATTTTGAAAATGTATAGTACAATTCAGGATTAGACATACAAGTGGTCAGTGTACAGGTAAAGTTTGGACTTCTCTTTGGTCCTCACTTTGCTGGTTTGGGATCAGATACCCTTACTGATGTTATGTGCCCTCTCTCCTGGCAGTTTCTGGCTACTGCCAATCAGGACTCTTCCTAGGCATTTTTCTGCTAATGCTTTTAATTTTATTCTAAAAAAGACTGGAATTTAATACATCATTTGAACAGGCTAAATTATATTGACAAAATACCACATGGCGAATAGGATCATTTAATTTCCAGCACACAGAAGACACATAACATCTGTATGAAAACATGAACACAGAGTGGGCTGCTATTTTGACCTTCCGTGTTCATTTTCAACAGCAGCCTGGGAAATTTCTGCTGTTATTTGGAATTTGAAGTAGTGGTAAAGTTGTAGTCAGATGTGATGGATTTTGCACCCAATTTGCTTAAAGTTTGTGGTTCATTAACCCAACATTTTGAATTTTAAAGTACATAAGTAATGTCGTTTGGAAAGTACAGCACAGAAAATTAATGGGATCCTTGGCCAGAAGTGAACACTGAGACAATGTATTAGGGAAAAAATGACTGAGGAGTGGGAAGTCTGGTTTCTTTCTCTCTCTCTTTTTCTTTCTTTCTTTCTTTCTTTCTTTCTTTCTTTCTTTCTTTCTTTCTTTCTTTCTTTTTTTTCTTTTTGAGTCAGAGTCTCACTCTGTTGGTCAGATTAGAGTGCAGTGGCATGCTCACGCACCCCAGCGACAGCCTGCTGGGCTCAGGCCATCTTTCCTCCTCAGTCTTCCAAGTAGCTGGAACTACAGGTGCAAGCTACCATGCCCAGCTAATTTTTTTGATATATTGTAGAGACGAGGCCTCAATAAGTTGCCCAGGCTGGTCTCAAACCCCTGGACTCAGGCAATTCTCTCACCTCGGCCTCCCAAAGAGTTGGGATTACAGACTTGAGCCACCACGCCTGCAGGAAGCCTGGTTTCTAATTGGAATGCCTGCCTGGCCATTCAGAGCCCAGCCAGCCACTGATGCAGGCTCTGAGAGAGTCTTCTTTATGAGTCTCTGCTAAAGTTTTTATTAATTTTTCCAAAACACTGTCATAATAAGCAGTTGTATTGTTCTTTGGCTTTTCATAAAGTTAGCAAGCAAAATGCCTTGAGCATCCCCTAACACTGTTGCAGTGACATTTGCTTTTGACCAGTCTGCTTTTGCTTTGACAGGACCAGTTTCATCCCTTGGTAGCCATTACTTTGTACTTTGTCTTCATGCTAGTAAAGCCATATTTTATCTTCTGTTACTATTCTTCAAGTAAATGTGTCAAGATCTTGATCTCATTTGTTTAAAATTATCAATGAAAGCTCTGCTCTTGTCTGCAGCTCTTCTGGGTGCAGACATCCATTTGGCATCCATTGAATGGAAAAGTTTGCTCAACATTAATTTTTAGCCAGATTTGTATAAGCAAACCAGTTGAGATGTCTATG